GGTGCCTTCCCACCTTAGAGATTGGCGTTTGCTGTTCTTTCTGCCTGGGACACGCTTCCCAGCACTCTGCCTGCGATCTTCCTTCAGATTTCAGCTTAAACGCCATCTCCTGACCACCGGCTCTAGAGCTGACATTCCCTTCCAGTTTCTATCTCAGCTCCTTGTGGGTTTCCTTCCTCCACCTTATTGTAATCTGTAATTGCTTTATGTGTTTGCTTCCTTGTTTATTGTTACGGCTGGTTTTTTCCTCTCTGTGGCATTAATGGCTGTCGGATGTCTCTCATCTTTTACTTACTTACTTTCTTACTCTTACGTCTCACCTCGCACCTTACGTCTTACGTCTCTCCCACAACTTGAGTGTGAACCCTGACAGTGCAGGGATTTTCACCGGCTTTGTCTGCCCTGTGCCCTGGCACACAGGAGGTGCTCAGTAAACCTCTGTGGCAGGAAGAGATGTCTCTCACTAGAACTGAGGCTTCGCGGGGGCAGGGACCTTGTTTATCTTGTTGCTGAATCCCTGGTGCCACGTCTGCTACCTGGCATGCAGCAGGGGCTCTAAGAAAACAGGCTGAAGGAGGAAGATGATGTCAGAGCCTGCTGAGAACCTCTGCTTTTCTCCAGAATCTGCCCTCAGTGTCTCCACCTCCTCAGACCTGACAGCGCTCTCCAATTACCCAGCCCTGGGAGGGCGCACAGGTGGAAGCGGGGAAGCCGGTCTTTCTGAGACTGGACTCCACATCCCTGCAAGATGCTTCTGACCTGATGGGATGGGACACCAGTGTTTTACAGCTCCACTGCCACCCTTAGCTGTGTTTATGTAGGGGCTGTGTTTGCTGAGGCTATAGGCTACAGCAAAAGTCCCTTTGTCCCCGTGAAGACTAAGGCCTCCTGTCCAGCTAAAGGACCATCTATGTTCACCTGGGCCTCCGGCCTCCATATTTACTAAGCCCTACTCCTTAAGCAAAAGGATCTCCTGGCTTTACCATGGCCACCTGAATACGTGGCAGACATCTTAATTTTTGTTTTACTTTATTGTTGAGACGGAGTCTTGCTCTGCTGCCCAGGCTGGAGTACAGTAGTGTGATCTCTGCTCACCACAACCTCCGCCTCCTAGGTTTGAGCGATTATCCTGCCTCAGCCTCCAGAGTAGCTGGGATTACAGGTGCACACCACCACGCCTGGCTAATTTTTCATATTTTTAATAGAGATGGGGTTTCGCCATGTTGGCCAGGCTGGTTTCAAACTCCCGACCTTGTGATCTGCCTGCCTTGGCTTCCCAAAGTGCTGGGATTACAGGCATGAGCCACTGTGCTGGGCCTACATCTTTATTTTTGTTTAGTCTGCTTGGGAGAAACTTCTCTTGGATTTACACCGCCTTTGAGTAAATGTAGGGCTCTTCACTTTTAGGAAACACACCTTCAGCTTTGAGTAGGGTTCCCAGCTCTTGGCGAAAACTTCTTAAATAGCCCCCACGTCTGTTCTCACCATCCTGACACCCTTGCCATGGCCCCAGTTTTGACTACCAGATCCATTCCGGGACCTCTGTCCCAGCCTCTCCCTGGGCTCCTGGCTCAGAATCCTCCCTACTCCAGTCTCTCCTGGACACGTCCCCAGAGGCATCTTTCTGACATCCAGAGCTGCCCCTGTGGGCTCTAACCCTCCCTAGCACCCCATCACCACCAGAAGAATTCCAGTGCTTTATGGAGGGCGGGCCACCCCTCCACCATCCTGCACAAGGAGAACGGCAAAGCTCGCAAGGACTCGGGGCTCCCGTGCCTGCAGGCCTCTGTGCCTGCCGTTCTCTCTGCGTCACACATTTGTCCCCGTCTCACCCTTTCCTGTGCTCATTCTTACTCATCTCCAGCTCCCAGTTTAAACATTACCTCCTTCAGGAAGCATTCCATGACATAGCATGCTGACTTAGAAGCCCCACCTCGGGCCTCCCCTGTGTCCCTCCTAAGCCCCACGGTGGCACGTATCCCTCTGGGTCTTGACTTGCCAGTGTCCCTGCCCGCCTCTGCCATCAGACAGGGAGCCCATTGAGGGCAGGGACTGGGACTGACTCAACCACATTGCCCCACAGCCCTGCGCAGGGCCCGCCAGCTCCAAGGAGGCGTCAGGAAATGTTTGCTGCATGAATAAAGGGGTGATCAGTATCCCTCCTTTGCTCAAATATCCTCCACGGCTTCTGTAGTGCTCAGAACCAAAGACAAGCCAAAATTGCCTCTCCCTCTCACGTCTCCTCCACTTGCCCCCTCTGCTTTCTCCCTCAGTCTCAGAGTTTGCACTGCTGTTTCCTGCCAGGAGCACTTTCCCCTGATTCCCACCTCCCCCCACCCCTGCCCCAACCCACCCTGTGCTCTCTGCCTCACCTACCCTGTGCTCTCTGCTCTCTGCTCTCTGAGATGTGCAGAGAGCCCCAGGATGTGGAGGTCTATGGTGGTTGATGATGTGAGAGGAATCCCATGCACCCTCTAGCCCGTTTTTTTCCTCATAACAGTAAACCATGATGCCTTCCTTTCAGATTATACAGCCACCCTCACTGGTTTACCATTTATCTATGGCTGCTTTCAACATACAACAGCACAGTTGCCATAGAGACCCTATGGCCCACAAAGCCTAAAACATTTGCTATCTGGCTGTTTACAGGAAAAGTTTACAACCCCTGCTGTAGAGTCAGGCAGTCCAGGGAAGTCACATCACTGAGACTGAAGATTGTCATCTGAGTAGAATTACAAGGCCAGGCACGGTGACTGTGCCTGTAATACCAGCACTCTGGGATCACTTGAGGTCAGGAGTTTGAGACCAGCCTGGCCAATATGATGAAACACCATCTTTACTAAAAATACAAAACTTAGCCAGGTGTGGTGGCGCATGCCTGTAATCCCAGCTACCTAGCTGGGTGAGGCAGGAGAATCACCTGAACCCAGGAGGTGGTTACAGTGATATTGGTTACAGTGAACCAAGATCATGCCACTGCACTCCAGCCTGGGTGATAGAGTGAGACTCCATCTCAAAAAAAAAGAATTACACTAGTACCCAACTCATATATAACATATATCTTGCCTTTTACACTAGTATGAGAGTTGAGAATAATATTTTAATTTTATTTATTTTAATATTTTATTATTATGAAATAATAATATTTTTGAGCACATACTATGTACCAGAAGCTGTTCTAAATTCTTGGGGGTGTTGTTAATTCAATTTGACTTCACATAAATCCTATGAGGCCGGCATTGCTATTGTCTTCATTTTATGACGAACAAACTGAGATGAGGCATGGCACATCGCAGACCCTGTGGATTTTTTTTTTTCCCTGACACTCTGGCTGGCAGTGATTGAAACTGAGCTTTCAAGGCTCTTAACACTTTCAAGTGACCTCTGTGAGGTCACTGTTAAGTCTCATCGTGGGCCACTCTGTTCATCTGTGTGTGTTGGTTCATTTGTTAAATTTATTTCCTGAGGTCTCCTTGTGCCAGGTTAGCCCTGGGCTGGGTTCAGGTAACACAAATGAATCGGACTTGCTTACTGTCCTCTGAGCATCTCCCACCCCCCACCCTGCCCTGCTGGTGGGGAGATAGGGACTTAGTACAGGGCGATAAAGCTTGACAGGGAAGTGTTAAGGGCCTTGAAAGCCTGAGCCAGAGGACACAGCTAACCTCACCCAGATTCCTAGCCCACTGAAACTGTGAGGGAAAAACAACATTTATTGTTTATTAAGCTGCTAAACTTGGGGCGATTTTTACCCAACAATAGGTAACGAATACAAGGATATTGCTTATTACTCAAAATCACTATATAAAGCCCCTGAAAAATGGAAAGCTGAACTAGGGAAACACTGAGAGTGTCCAAGAACACTGTTTCTTCTTAGATACAGTGAGAAAAGCACATACATGTTTCTTCCTTTTAGTTTTGGCCACCAGGAAGCTCAGAGCCAAATGTATGACACAATTTTAATAATTGTGTAAGCTCCTATAACCTGCTTATCTGTGTTCTTATTCCTGGACTTTCATTTTATTCTGACTATTTTCTCTCTCTCTCTCTCTTTTTTTTTGAAACAAGATGGAGTTTCTCTTCTGTTGCCCAGGCTGAAGTGCAGTGGTGTGATCTCGGCTCACTGCAAACTCCGCCTGCCAGGTTCAAGGGATTCTCCTGCCTCAGCCTCTCGAGTAGCAGCTGGGATCACAGTCATGTGCCACCACACGTGACTAATTTTGTATTTTTAGTAGAGACAGGGTTTCTCCATGTTGGTCAGACTGGTCTTGAATGAACTCCTGACCTCAGGTGATCCGCCTGCCTCTGCCTCCCAAAGTGCTGGGATTACAGGCATGAGCCACCGATCTTGGGCCTGACTTTACCTTTTCTTGGTACTGATTTTATTAGCTCATCTATATTTTTCTGTATTATATGAATTATGGTAAGCCACCTCAGATTCAACTTACAGAGAAGCAAGGCATTCATAAATTTGTTTTTTGTTTTGTTGCTTTTTTGAGACTCTCACTCTATGGCCCTGGATGGTGCAGTGGCGCGATCTCAGCTCACTGCAACCTCCGCCTCCCAGGTTCAAGTGATTCTCGTGCCTCAGCCTCCCAAGTAGCTGGGATTACAGGCATGGACCACCATGCCTGTAATCAAAATTTTTAAAAGTAAAAATTTTTTATTTTTATTTTTAGAAGAGAAGGGGGTTTCATCATGTAGGCCAGGCTAGGTCTCAAACTCCTGACCTCAAGTGATCCACCTGTCTCGGCCTCCCAAAGTGTTGGGATTGCAGGCGTGAACCACCGAACCCAGCCCATGAATCATTTTTAAAAAATAGTTTTAAAATTTAAAACATAGTTTTGCACATTAAAAAAAAAAAAAAAAAAGTTTTGCACATTTTGAACACAGAGTTCCCGGAGGTGGCGGTGGGACGATCAGGTCATAGGGGGGTGGCTCAGGAACCCCAAGCATTGGCCAGGGGTGATTTGGATTGGGTGAGAAATATCAAGTGATAATGACGAAAAGGGAAAAAGGATGGCAACTGATTGCCATCCACAGAGGGATGGGCCGGCTGAGGGCTCGCCCAGTCACCCACAGTGGGATCCTTGCATCGTGTGACTGGCAACAGCTCCCCTGCATCCCTCGTCCATCCCGCCCGGTCCCGCCCCTCACGCCGGGCCCCGCCCCTTCACGGGCCCCGCTCTTCACGCACGTCGCGACGCGCCGCCCGTTTCCGCCGGCGGGCAGCCTAGGCGGTTGCGTCCTCGGCGTCTTCCTCCCGCTCCCGCTAACTCCTTCTCTGCTCCGCCCGCCTCACTCCTTTCGGGGCGGTTGGGCCACGAGCCTGTGGGGCTAGGCCCGGAGCCAGTAACGGAGCCTATGGGGCCCGGACGGGCTGCAGCGGCTGTGGAGGCGGAAGGAGGCGGTGGCAGCAGAGGAGGGAAGATGGCGGCGCCCGTCTTGCGGAGAGTGTCGGTGCCGCCGTGGGAGCGGGTGGCCTAGTACGCCGGGTGCGGTTCCTGCTCTCCATCTACGCCGACCATGTGGAGCGGGAGAAGGAGCGGGACCTCGAGCTCTGGGCTCTCTTCAATCTGGAGCCCTAGGTGAAGTGCTCCACCGCCCTTGCGTCCAGGTAGCTGGCGTTGGGGAGTGGGCCGGGGCGGCCGCGCGGGGCGAGGGCGGAGGCTGGGGGTGGGGAGCGCGAGGCTGGAACTCGGGCCTGGGGCCGGCGCGGACTCAGGGGGCTTGCGTTTCCCCGTGTCTTCCTGGTGCTAGGACAGGTGTTTCCGCGGTCAGGCCTGTGTACTCCAGCGCTAGTGAGAATTTGTAGACTTACTGGGACAGTGACATTTGCGGGCAAACAGGAATTTGACCCTACTCCGAAAGAAGATAGTGACACTTAACATATTTGATTTCTTGGGTTTCCCTTGTATATTCAGTGTGCCGGGAGGAGGAAATGGTCTGAGTTTCAGTATGTTATGCGTATGGTGGTGTTTCAGGCATTGGGATGACCTTTAAACGTTGTTGGTTAATATAATAGGATACCCACAACAGATTAAAAGCACACGCTTTGCTAAACTTGAGCGATTCGTTTGTGTTACTGATCATTTTAGTTTTTTTTTTTTTTATGTTGTAACTGGTCTGTTACGTTTTATTTTAACGCATTACATTTTCCTAGGCAAGTTACTTTGAAAAGGGGAATTTACATTTTAAAGGTGGCTGCTTTTTTTGTTTGTTTTGGGGGGGGTTAAAAACAGGTCGAAGGAATGATTTCAGAATTGATAGGTTACGATTTTAATAGAGACTGTGTCTAATATTTAGATGTTTGTTAACAGTGGTCACGTCTGAGCAATTTCTTCCCCTCCTGTTGATTGGTAAATTGGTGTGTAGACAGAAATATATAGCTCACTAGTTTATTTCGACTCTCATATTGTTGATTACATGAACAAGGTAGCGCTGGCGTTTGTCTTGTTATTGGTTACGAACTTCAGGGTGCGGATCTTTCCACTTAGCCTTCTCATGGACCAGATTCATTTGCTCTTAAACCAAAATCCTGTAGCGTTTTACAGGGGAAATAATTATCACATGGCCAAATGAAACATTTTGAAAATGAAATAAAAATGTAGGTATGAGTTTACAGGGGAAAATACATAGATGTGACAAAAAGCTCACATTTGTTGTTGGTGGTTATTCTGAACCAAGTTAATAGGCTGATTAGACTCTCAGATACCCTTTGAGAAACACTGAGCGTCTTTTATGCAAAATTTTTGTTATTTCCGCTTTGGGAGAGGACTTTCAAACTCCTAAGTACCTTCCACCTGAAGTTATTTGAATGAATTAATATATAAGGAAAACATGCAGCAGCACATTTCAAGTATTTAAGAAACAAGAAGAATTAAAATTACTTTTGGTCCTATGTTAATATGGAATTTAAGCAGAATTATGATGAATTTAAAATTTTTTTTTGAAAGTAGTCTAAAATAAATGGAACTTTTAACATTGGGACATGGAAGGAGTACTTTACTGTTTGCTTAAGTTCTTAAAAGTGACTTTCTTTAGAGAAGAGAGTTTTGAACGGTTTCATATGCATACACTCTAGATATTCTCATAGTTCTATATCCTGCAAGAGCTGAATGTTTGTGCATCATAAAACATCAAGAAGTGTATTAAAAGTATATATAAGTACATGTAAGACTAAAGGTAACTGGATCTTTATAGTTTTAAATGTGAATTTATTATGTTGTGACTGAAAGTGTTGTTTCATGTGTAGCTGTGGACATCAAACAGTTTAACTTAGATGCTTGTTAAAGGATAGGTAAAAATAAGATATGCTAATAAGAGTAAATGACTTACTTGCTATCTATACAGTGAAATTATTTTAAGAAATTTCTTCAGTTTGATCAGCCTTTTTATAAACTACTTGTAAAAATCAAGTAGTTTATAAACTACTCATTTAATAAATGAATTTGCAGGTCTCAACATATTTTGGAAATAGTTTATAAACAGGCTGATCAAAATCACATATGTATATATATATAATCACATATATAGACTAATTTTCTTTTGGAAGTAGGTAGACAAGATTGAAAGTCTTTATTTTGTCAAGCTGAAAGAGACTTTAAATGAAAGCTGATTATTGGACACCTCAAGTTAGTTTCTTTTGAGTAGTGATTACTGTGTAGCAGTACTACTCAAAGAGGTGACTCTTAGGAAAAGAAAGTTTGAGCCCAGGCCGGGCGCGGTGGCTCATGCCCGTAATACCAGCACTTTGGGAGGCCGAGGTGGGTGGATCACCTGAGGTCGGGAGTTCAAGACCAGCCTGACCAACATGGAGAAACCCCATCTCTACTAAAAATACAAAATTAGCTGGTGCATACCTGTAATTTCAGCTACTCGGGAAGCTGAGGAGAATCACTTGAACCTGGGAGGCAGAGCTTGTGGTGAGCCGAGATCCCACCACTGCACTCCAGCCTGGTCAACAAGAGTGAAACTCCATCTCAAAAAAAAAAAAGTTTGAGCCCAGAGAAAAGTTAACAGATGAAAAAAGATTCTGAAGAGAGTCCTCTTCCAGGATCCAGTGTCAGCACATGGTTTTGGATCGCTTATACTCAAATTGATTCTTATTTCACAATCCCCAAATGTCCTAATCCAAACAGAATAAGATAGAGGTTAAAGACAGAATCTTGAGGGGCATGTGTTATCTTTGTGTAAAGTCCCCTATTATTTTGGGGCCATAATGATGTAAAGGGCCAGACTTTTAGATTTCTAAAGAAATATTTTCCCAAAATTAGGAGGCTACAATAGAAATGCTTTTTTTTTTCTTTTGAGACAGAGTCTGGCTCTCTCACCAGGCTGGAGTGCAGTGGCATGTTCTCAGCCCACTGCAGGCTCTGCCTCCCGGGTTCAAGTGGTTTTCCTGTGTCAGCTTCCTGAGTAGCTGGGATTACAGGTATGTGCCACCACTCCCAGCTAATTTTTGTATTTTTAGTAGAGACAGGGTTTCACCATGTTGGCCAGGACGGTCTTGATCTCTTGACCTCGTGAGCCACCGTGTCTGGCCTGATTTTTTATTTCTACCAGGTACAGCCAATAAAAACGACACACCACTGTCTCGTGTCACCATCATTTCATTTAACAAAAGGATATTTTTACCCAAACAATTGGAAAGAACAGAATCTTTTTTTTTTTTTTGAAAGAAAAAAAAGGAGAGAAGGAGAGGAAGAAAGAGGAAGAAAAAGAGGGAGAGAGAATAGGAATCTCTCACAATAAATTTTATTTTTTGTTTTTTTGAGATGGAGTCTTGCTCTGTCGCCAGGTTGGAGTGTGGTGGGACAATTCATCTTGGCTCACTGCAACCTCTGTCTCCTTGGTTCGAGCGATTCTCCTTCCTCAGCATCCTGAGTAGCTGGGACTACAGGTGTGTGCCACCATGCTCAGCTAATTTTTGTATTTGTAGTAGACACGGTGTTTCACCATGTTAGCCAGGGCGGTCTTGATCTCTTGACCTCGTGATCTGCCCACCTTGGCCTCCCAAAGTGCTAAGATTACAGGCATGAGCCACTGCACCCAGCCAGAATAAAAGATCTTTAAATGGAATCATTTAGTTATATTGAAAACTTTACTTTTGGACCAGCCTGGCTAACATGATGAAGCCCTGTCTCTACTAATAATATAAAGTTAGCTGGGCATAGTGTTATGCACCAGTAATCCCAGCTACTCTGAAGGCAGAAACAGGAGAATCACTTGAACCCAGGAGGCAAAGGTTGCAGTAAGCGGAGATGGTGCCATTGCACTCCAGCTGGGCTACAAGAGTGAAACTCCGTCTCAGAAAAAAAAAAAAAAGTTTACTTTTATGTCCTTACTTTTCCCCATTTCCCCATAAATCAATGAAAATTCTGCTGCAAACTTAAACCAGCCTGCCAGCTAACATTGTTAGCCCCCCCTGCCCCCTTGGTTTGGTATTCTGAGCTCAAAACTAAGGGATGGGGGGGCTTCCAGCTCTCCCAGGTCTTAAACTTGTGGCCTTATCTTCATGGTGCCTCAATTTCTTATGTTAAATAGGGATTTTTACACCTCCTTAGGGCCTGGCTCACACCTGTAATCCCAGCACTTTGGGAGGCTGACACATGGCAGATCTCTTGAGCTCAGGAGTTTCAGACCAGCCTGGGCAACAGGGCAAAACTCTTTCTCTACAAAAAATACAAAAATTAAGCGGACATGATAACACATGCCTTTGATTCCAGCTTCTTGGGAGGCCAAGGTATGAGGATCACTTGAGCTGGGGAGGCTGAGGTCACTGTGGAGTGAGCCGTGATGGTGCTATTGCACTCCAGCCTGGCTGGTAGAGAGAGAACCTGTCTCAAAAAACAAACAAACCTACTTTCCCAGATGAATGTTAGGATGAAAAGTGATTACATATATGTTCCTGAAATAAAGTCTGCCCTCAATTATAGCTGTTACCATTGATAGGATATGTTACTTTTTTTTTTCAGTGTTTGATAATAAATGCCTGTAAGTATAATCAGTTTCTTGTATATAGTCATTTATATGTTTAAACATTCATTGTTCTAATGTATTTTTATTGCTGACTTCGTTGCACAGCCTAAAGATGTGTTCATTTAAAATACTTTTGAAATTGTGCAAGAGAAACTAATATGCAGTATATTCTTTTTTTTTGAGATGGAGTCTTACTCTGTCACCCAGGCTGGAGTGCAGTGGTGCAATCCTGGCTCACTGGAACCTCCGCCTCCCAGGTTCAAGCAATTCTCTTGCCTCAGTCTCCCAAGCAGCTGGGATTACAGACCCACCACCATGCCTGGCTAGTTTTTGTGTTTTTAGTAGAGACAGGGTCTCACCATGTTGACCAGGCTGGTCTTGAACTGCTGACCTCAGGTGATCTGCCTGCCTCAGCCTCCCAAAGTGCTGAGATTACAGGCAGCAGCCACCGCGTCCAGCCCTAATATGCAGAATATTGTATGTAGGTATTTCCTATATATTAGCCACCTCTTAAGAAAGGTTTCTATGTAAGAATAGTACAAATGATCCGGAAAGGTTAATAGGCTTGGCGAATTTATGTTTCTTAACACTGTAAAAGTAGTCTGGTTGTCCTATGGTACATGCATAGGCCATACACCATAGGACCCCTATTTCTACCAAAATCCTGGCATACTCAAGTCCCTGCTGTGGGTCCTGCAGATCCTGGGTATGTGACAAGTTAGGCCTCCATATATGCATATGTGCATTTGGCTGAAAAAGATCCACATATGAATGTGCCCATGCAGCTCGAACCTGTGTTGTTCAAGGGTCCACTGTATTTGAAAATGAAGTCCACAAAAAAAGTTGCCTTGTTTTACAAAATGTTGGATTACTACCTCTATCATATCGTAAAAAAAAAAAAAAAGTACCGTCTATTTACTACCCCAATGAGATAATAAAACTTTTAGAATAGAACCTAGGGCCAGGTATGGTTTGCAGCTGTAATCCCAGCACTTTGGGAGGCTGAGGTGGGCAGATCACCTGAGGCCAGGAGTTTGAGACCAGCCTGCCCAACATGGTGGAACCCCGTCTCTACTAAAAATATAAAAAACTACCTGGGTGTGGTGGTGTGGGCCTGTAATCCCAGCTACTCCTGAGGCTGAGGCAGGAGAATCACTTAAACCCTGGAGGAAGAGGCTGCAGTGAGCGGAGTTCACGCCACTGCACTCCAGCCTGGACAACAAGAGTGAAACTCCGTCTCAAAAAGAAAAAAAAAAATAGCCAGACATGGTGGTAGGGGCCTGTAATAGCTACTCGGGAGACTGAGGCAGGAGAATCACTTAACCCAGGAGGTGAAGGCTGCAGTGAGCCGAGATCACACCATTGCACTCCAGCCTGGACAACAAGAAAAAAAAAAAATAGACCCTTGAAGTGTTTATTGCTCGTTGCTTTGTCTGAGACTCAGAGGTTAAGCGATTTGCCCAAGATAACACAGGTAGTAGCAAATTGAGACTTCACACCTGGCTTCCAGAGTCCTTATTTAGAGTCACCTCTGTACCCTCATTTTAAAAATTAAATCTTGTGTAGGTAATGGCATTTGCTGCTTCAGATGTGAAAGATAACAAGGCATGTACAGTGAAAAGTTCATATCCCTTCACCCAGACAGTTCTCCCTGTCAATAGGCCGCCATGAAACTTTTCAGAGCCATTTGACACATAGACAAACATCCATATGACTGTATTATTCCTCCCCTCTTTGTTTTTTTAACAGGGGAGTGTCATGTATATGTTCTCATAGATAGCCTGCTCTGGCTTGGCATTTGCTCCATTACTCCCGTACTTTAAATGCTTGCATTTTAGTGAAATGTTAATAGCTGCTAGGACATAAAAGAGAATTTGTTCTAGTAGTTTTGACTAACCAAGATGAATTTAATAAATGAAATTCTTAACACTGTCATTATTTCTTGGTATGGAAATTTTAGAAGCAGGTTAAACTGAAAAGGGTCCAGGAGGAACAGAGAAATATCACAAAGAAGTGAATCTGGACTGTAGTAGAGATAAATGTTAATACTTACAGGTAATACTATGTGCTAGGCAGTGGTCTAAGTACTTTACATATATTATTAAAGTCTCAAAAAAGTTCCATGAGGCAGGTAGCTTTTATCGCCATTTTACAGATGAGTAAACTGAGCCACACAAACTGACTAACACTTGATCCAGGTAGTACAGTGGCAGCGGCCTGATTCTAACCCAAGCAGTCTGGCTCAAGAGTACAAGTGCTTTACCACTATTTAGTTCTGTCTTCCCGTCGTCTTTTCTTTACTTTTTCTTCCTTTCCCTCTTTCTCTCTGTCCTTCCCTCTCTTTCCCTTTCCTTCCTTCCCCTCCTCTCCTCTCCTTTTTCCTTCCTTCCCTTCCTTTTTTTTCTTTTCTTCCCTTTATTTTTTGAGACACTGTCTCACTCTGTCTCCCCAGGCTGAGTGCAGTGGTGCATTCATGGCTCACTGCAGCCTCAACCTCCCCACATCAAATAATCCATCCACCTCAGCTTCCCAAGGAGCTGGGTCTACAGTTGCACACCCCACCATGCCTGGCTCATTTTTTATGTTTTTCGTAGTGACAAGGTCTTACTTTATTGCCTGGGCTGGTCTCAAACTCCTGGCCTCAAGCGATCCTCCCACCTTGGCCTTTCGCCTCCCAAACTGCTGGGATTACAGCTGTGAGCCACTGCAACCAGCCTTTTACTACCTCTTCAAATTCCATTTAGATTTAATGTTGTTAGAGCGATAACCATATCAACCAGATTTTTAAATTGCAACGAAAAGAATGCTGCCATTTTTGGTATCTATATGACAAAAATATGTGTTAGTATCTATATGACAAAAATATAGATTTTACCTGTTTAGAGCACTCTTTGGAAAGGCAGGGAAATTACTGTGAAGGTATTGGTGTTCGAGAAGTTCGTTCCTGGAGTGTTTGCCTTGTAAACCTGAAGGTGTGAGGACTTCGTTTGTCACACCCAGTTAGCTAACAGATGGGCAATGGGGGTGAGCTATCCGGAAGACTTAGCCAGTTAGCCTAGGGAGGAAGGAGCTAGGGAATCTAGGCACCTGGAGGGAGGGAGAGGGAGAAGAGTTTGTTTGAATCTGTCCCAGGTTGGGGTAGCTTTCTGAGGGAGGCCTTGTCATGTGGACCTGCCGCACATAGGGAGAATTGGACCTGAGGTGTGGTGCTAGCTAAAGCACCACCCAGATCTGGAAATTTAAGAGGAGTTCATTTCTTCGATCATTAGGAAGAACTTGAAAGGGTAGCAAACTGTGGTCACTTGAGAAGAGCAAGTGGTCATATTTGAATGTAACATACTCAACTGGGTTGGAAAAGAACCGGAATCTAGAGCTTGCCTGTAAAAAGTGCAAAACCAAGCGTTCTTGTAAACCATGTACTCTTGTAAACACTGATAAGATATGGCACTGAGCCCTGGGCCTTGCTCCTATAAAGTGCTTATACAGGCTGAACCCTAATCCGGAAATCCAAACTCTTAAATTTCCTGGTGAGCATTTCCTTTGAGTGTCATATTGGCACTCAGTTTTGGGATTTTGCACTTTGAGATTTAGGATGCTCTACCGGTGTGTAATGCACATAATATTCCCCAATCTGAAAAAATGGCAAATCCAAAGTATTTCTGCTCCAAAGCGTTCTGATAAGGAATAATCAACCTGTAATGGATTGTACTAGACATGTATTAGATTACCAGTTTTCAAAATTTGTATCTCAGAATCCTCGTTCTGTGTCAGTGAAACAGATTTCATACGCCTTTGATTCACATTTTAATGTTTTCAACTTAAAATGTTGTAAATGTTTATATACACTCAAGTGCATATCATGCTAAATTTTAATATATTAGGACCACTGATTTGTACTGCCAGGTTATCTCAAGAGTTATACTGAGTGAAGGCCAGGCATGGTGGCTCACGCCTATAATCCCAACACTTTGTGAGGCCAAGGCGGGTGGATCACCTGAGGTCAGCAGTTCAAGACAGCCTGACCAACATGACAAAACCATGTCTCTATAAAAAATAAATAAGCCAGGCATGGTGGCGCATGCCTGTTACCCCAGCTACTTGAGAGGCTGAGGTGAGAGAATCACTTGAACCCGGGAGGTAGAAATTGCAGTGAGCCAAGATTGTGCCTGGAAGACAGAGCAAGACTCCGTCTCAAAAAGAGAGAGAGTCAAAAGTTACATACTGTATGATTGCATTTATGTAACATTATTGAAAAAACAAGACTGCAGAGATGGAGGACAGATTTAGTGGTTGCTAGGAGTTTGGAATGGGAGGTGAGGGGTGGTGTGGTTATAAAGTGGTAGCATGAGGGAGCTGTGTAGGGATGGAACAGTTCTCTATCTCAGGTGTGATTATACAAAGCGGCAAATGTGTTAAAATTTCATACAACCACACACACATACCGCACACAAATCCTAGCATTCTCAAGGCCCATTTTGCATACAAAGCTGTTGAAACCTGAATAAACTTGGGATTGTACCAAGGTCAGTTTCCTGATGGTGACAGTGTACCAGAGTCACATAAGTTATAACATTGGAGGAATTTGGGCAAGCGTATTTGGGAACTCCCAGTGTACTTTTTTGCAAATTCCTGTGGTTTGTAATTATAGTAATTTTAAAATAAAAAGTTGGCCAGGCCTGGTGGCTTATGCCTGTAATCCCAGCACTTTGGGAGACTGAGGCAGGTGGATCACCTCCTGAGGTCAGGAGTTCGGAACCAGCCTGGCCAACGTGGTGAAACCTCATCTCTACCAAAAATGCAAAACTTAGCCAGGCGTGGTGGGGTGTGCACCTGTAGTCTCAGCCACCTGGGAGGCTGAGGCATGAAAATTGTTTGAACCTAGGATGCAGAGGTTGCAGTGAGCTGAGATCACACCACTGCACTCCAGCCTGGGCAACAGAGCAAAACTCTGTCTCAAAATAAAAAGTAAAAAAAAAAAAAAAAAACCAGCAATGCATTTAGAATATTTGAGAGAAAATAAGCAAAAGGAAGAAAATGTAAATTGTCTATAATGCTCATACCCAGGACAACAATCCCTGGAATAGTGTTTCTCACTTTGTATATAGACTTGAAACTTTTTAAATGCCATTTTAATTTTTAGGCTGGGTGGGGTGGCTCAGGCAAGGCACGGTGGCTCGTGCCTATAATCTTAGCAGTTTGGGAGGCCAAGGTGGGTGGATCATGAGGTCAAGAGATTGAGACCATCCTGGCCAACATAGTGAAATCCCTTCTCTATTAAAAATACAAAAACTAGCTGGGCGTGTTGCACGTACCTGCAGTCCCAGCTACTACTAGGGAGGCTGAGGCAGGAGAATCGCTTGAACATGAGAGGTGGAGATTGCAGTGAGCCGAGATCATGCCACTGCATTCCAGCCTGGGCGACAGAGCAAGACTGTCTCTGGGGGCGGAAAAAAAAAAAAGTCATTTTATTTTTTAATTAAAATTGTTTTTTTCTTTTCTTCCTGAGAAAGGATAAAAATGTTATTGATTAGTAAGACTGTAGTTTTATGTTGATACTTTGAAATATTAGGGTGGTGCTTGTTTGCTCCTCTAACATTATATAAGCACATTCAATACTATCAGAACTAATTGCATTATGCAATAACGTGACTGCCGTATGCATATATCAGCATTAGTACATATTGTAAAGTTTTTATTTTTTATCAAAAAGTTTACAACTACCAGGTATTCACATTCCTTAACATTATTACAGAATTAATTTAGAAATGTTCTACTTTTAAAACTTCTGGACAGGTGTAATTAAATTCTTAGATAGCATAAATGTACTATTTAAAAAACACACAGAAAACATTCTTTATCATTTGCAAAACATGCTTTATCATCTAATCCTTGTGAATCAGGTTTTTCTTGATACCATGCAATCAAAACAGAACAACTTTGACATAAGACTGCCTAGTCATCCACAATTTAAAGTTTGTGTTCATCAGAATTTTATTGTTCTCATTATACATGTTCTACATTAGAGGTTTTTTGTTTGTTTTTTTGAGATGGAGTCTCACTCTGTTGCCCAGGCTGGAATACAGTGATGCAATCTCAGCTCACTGCATCCTCCTCCCAGCTTCAAGCATTTTCCTGCCTCAGCCTCCTGAGTAGGTGGGACTACAGGCATGGGCCACCATGCCCAGCTGTGTGTGTGTGTGTGTATTTTTAGTAGTGACATGGTTTCACCATGTTGTTCAGGCTGGTCTCGAACTCCTGACCTCAAATGATCTGCCCACTTCAGCCTCCCAAAGTGCTGTGATTACAGGCATGAGCCACCATACTCAGCCACATTTGAGCTTTAAGATACACTGATAGAATAAAATACTGCTTTAATCTGTTTCTTGTGTTACAGATCCACATGAAATTCATTTAGGAAGATGTTACTGTACTAAAATACTTAAAGCTATTGGATTATAAGTTTTATTTTGTAGTTAGCATCTCTAGGGGAATTTCAGGGACACTGTTGCTGTCTTGTGATTATTGATCCTTTTAAAAATCATTGTATTTGAGAAGTGAAGTAGTAGAAAAATCTATGACGAAATAGGGAATTAAAGCAGACAGTATACTCAGCTCCACTGTGTTTAAAGATTTTAATTAATTTCTGTACATTGTGCTAGTGGTTAAGATCGGAGACTCTAGAGTCAACCTGAGTTGAAGTCTTGGCTCCGTCACTTGCTCTCTTGTCTCAGTTTCTTCCTCCATAAAATGAGGGTAATAATAGTGTTAACTCATAGGGTTATTGTGAATATGAAGAGCACTAGTACGTGTAAACAGTCCTGGTCCCTGGCATAAAAGTACTCATAAAACATAGTTATTATTTTAGAACATGGTTGAGATCTTACTTTATGTTTTATATGTCTTTTCCTCACTTAACATACTGTGGCTGGGCACGCTGGCCATAATCCCAGCACTTTGGACGGCTGAGGTAGGTAGGTCATCTGAGGTCAGGAGTTTGAGACCACCTTGGCCAACATAGTGAAACCCCATCTATTAAAAATACAAAAATTAATTCCAGCTCCTTGCGGGGCTGAGGCAGGAGAATTGCTTGAACTGGGGAGGTGGAGGTTGCAGCGAGCCAAGATTGTGCCATTGTACTCCAGCATGGGGGACAGAGTGAGACTCTGCCTCAAAAAAACAAACAAACAAACAAAAAACATATCACAACTATTTTCCCATGTTAAAAATTCCACCAGTAATGTAAGAGAATATTGGGTGCCCTGTACCCTTGCCAATATTGGGCATTCTCACTTTTTAGATATTTGCCAGTATAATATATGAAAACTGTCATGTCATTGTTTTGATTTGCATTTTCCCCAAGCATCAGTGAGGTTTAATGATTTTCACATTTTAAAAAAGTATTTTTTAATTTATAATCACCTTGTTTGATAATGAGCTGTTCATGTTTTTATTAACTGTGTTTCTTCTCCTACTTAGATAAATCTTAGAATTTTTCACATTGATTTAGACAAATGCTAGTACAAAGGTCTTTTTAAGTCTGTGAGAATTGTAATGATTTTTCTTGGTAATTTTTGTCTGTAGATCCAAGTTTAGAAGGGCATTTCCCATTCTGATACCGTGTAAATAAATATGTGTAATTTGTTAGTTTTAAAAGACATGACGTCTTTAATCCCCTGGATTGTAGTTTACTAGGTGTTACATTGTCTTCTGGATATTGTCTGTTTATACCTTTGCCCATTTTTCCCCCTTCTGGGTTGTTTTATCATTTCTTCTTATTGCTTTATAGGAGTTCTTTAGATATCACAATGGTTAATCTTTTGTTATGTGTGTTACACATATTTTCTCCTCATTTGTTACTTGTTTTTTAATTTTGTTTATGGTGTCTTTATATAGAAGTTTTAACATGCGGTCAGATCTTTCACTTAAAAAATTCATTATTCAACTTGAAATCTTTCACTTCTTTATAGCTTTGGGTTTTTTTTTAATTGTTTAGCAAAATCTCTACCATCTGAAGTTTCTCTTTAAAGATTTTTCATATATTTTATGTGAAAGTTGTTTTCACACGGAGCTCATTTAGTTTGTGTGGAATATCCTTTTGTGTCTAGTGTGAGGGTAGGAATCCAACTTGTTCCCAAATGGATAGGCTTTTGTCTCTCTCAGTTCACTGACCTGTTCATATTTCAAATGCCACATCATCTTCCTACAGCATAAGGCCTCTTTCTGGATTCTCAGTTCTGTTCCAGTGACAGGTCTGTCTGTGTTTATTCCATTACCTCCCCTCCCCTGTGGCTTTATATCGAAGTTTGATATCTGATAGGGCAAATATGCTCGTTTTCAGATTCTTCTTAGCTATTCTCCTGAATTTACTGTTTCTGGTGAATTTTAGAATTATTTTGATGAGTTTTAAGACAAATCTCATTGAGATTATGATTACAATTGTGCTAAATTTATAGACGAATATGGGAAGCAGTCAGTTCTCACTAGCAGGTCTTTCCATCAAGGAGCATGCTGTATCTGTTTATTCTGGAGTTGCCTCTCTTATGATAATGGTTTTAACCTAGATGCTCACTGTAGCACTGTTTGTTCTAAATACGTATATTACAAAGATAGTATTAGAGTAAATTGGTTGAGGGAAAAGCCTCATATCTCTTCCTGTTTTCTTTCTTTTCACCTTTAACTTTGGGTCTGAAGAGACTTTATCATGATATATGGTGTATGTTTACTGAGGCTCTTGTAACAATTGGCAGTATAGTATGATCTCTCTTATTGTCCTTAATGATTAAGGACTATTTAATCAAGTTGATAACTGTTCCTTTTATGTTATATAAGAAGGATGTTTCTAGTTGCTGAGAGTACATATTAAGATATTGCTTTTACTCTTGTTTTATTTGAAAAATGTTTCGAGGGGGTGGTTTTATTTTTTTTGAAAAAAACTCTTTGAGGTAATATGTAATTGTTGTGAAAATTTCATATATTATTTCATATAAAGAAGAAAGTGCCGTTTGAGAAGGTGAGAGGTTTCTCCAAACTTTCAGTCATTGACGTGCCTCTTTGTTACTTTGCTGTGTATTTGTATCATCTGTACTGTTAATTCATAACAGTTTTCTTAAAATTTGCTAAAGAAATCCAAAAATCCTTAGTGATAAGAGCTGTGAACTCATACATTGATGCATATTACATAAATACATAATGTTGATGTTTTATGTACATTGCTGTATGTTAAGAAATGTATAACATTGATGCATATTAAATAATGATTTATTCAAAAGAATGTATACTATATGAGAAACTGGCACAGTGAGTGGAAGTATACGTTCTGAAATCAAGGCTTCATGGTTTTAAATCCTGATTCTGTTATGTCCTCCCTCAGTGATACTAGATAATAAACTTAAGCCTCTGCTTCCATTTTATTTGTTAAATGAGGTTAGTATGCCACCTCCCTTGTTAAGGTTATTATAAAATTAAACAGCAAGTGTAGAGTCAGTCAGCACAGCCCTAGTATATTCCTAGTATATTCCACAGATACTAGCTATTATTCAATAGAATTTGTAAATACCTTGTGTCTCCTTCAAAGCTAGTTCTCACACAAGCATCTCGGTTTTAAAGTGTTGACATAGTGTTCATTGTAAGAATATGCTATGACTTATGAAACTGTTTTGTAATTATTTGTTGTCTGCAACAAATAACAGGATTGGTTTCTAACATGTATCACCTGATTTCTCTCCCAAAGGAGTGTATTAATTTGCTGTTCTGTCAGTTTAGACTTCATGATTTAAATAGTTGGTGAGGGGCAATAGTGGGTTTAAAAATAATACTTGTTTTAGTTAACATTATTATACACTAGCCATTAAGGAACACATTAATTACTATTTGTTCTTGTTGAATCTGTGCAGTTTTCTCAGAGGTAGGTAAGCCTGCCTGTGTGAGACTAGTGAATGAGAAATTAGGGTAATTTTATAGTATTCTAGTCAGGGATCCCTGGAATATCAGAATTGTCTCCAATCTATAGCCACTGTTTTCTAGTTTATAGGGTCCATGGGAGAAAGGTTTGTTTTCCATTTATCAGTGCAAATATTTAATACAAAAGGATTGTGTATTTTATTCTTAACTAGGACGTAGGCAGCCGACTCCAGGGTAGAAGGCTGGAATGAGTTCAGCTGGTTCATGTGGAAATGCTGATTTTTTGGAATCTAGTTATTTAAGCTTAAATTGTTTCAATCTAAAGCAGACCGTGAGCTGAAACCTTTTTATCTCCCCAATTCTCAAACACACCGAGATCTTTCCCGCATTTCACTCCTTGCTTTCAGTTGCCTGGGGTCATGTAATCAGAGCAAGCCCATTTGCCCTGGCTGACTGCTGATCTGGCCTCTTCTGCTGAAGTAGTAGGTTTGGCCCTGGCTATCCCTGACAGTGGTGGGTACAGGAGGGAGTGACAACCTTGTCAACCACTTCAGTCACATGGAAGAAGGAGAAAAGTGAGCTTGATCTGTGTACTGACCTTTTAACAGTGATGCTGCCTGGTGATACACCCTATCAGCATTCTCACATCTGCATTCTTCCTTCCTGAAATCAGGAGAAAGAAAAGCTCAGGCTTGATTTCTCACCTCAAAAGACAGCACATAAAAACTTGCAGCCATTCTCAGAAGCATTGGTTTTCTGTTGGGTTGTTGCCTGTGTCAAATCAGCCAGAAAGAGGCGGAGTAACAACTGACTTGCTGAGAATTGCACACAATCCATGTCCCCCCACCCTGCTGCTCCTCCACACCTCAACCTGCAACGTGACTTCTTTCTCCTGAGAGGCTCTTTCCTCTTGCTTAATGGTTCATGACATGTTCTTCATTTTCCTCCTACCACTCTCCTTTTTTTTTTTTTTTTTTGCTGGCTTATTCTCTTGTATTTGGCCATTAAATGATGTTCCACCAATCAGCCCTAGGCCCTTCTGTCATTCTTCTTTCCCTAAGCAGTCACAGCCATGTCCATGGCCTCACTCCTGGGTAAATCCAACATTTTCATCTCTACCCCAAGTTCTGCTGTTGAGAACTCAATCTGCTAATACCTAATTGCCTACTGGACATCTCTACTTGGGTGTCTAAAAGTATTCTAAATGCAGCATGTCCAAGATTTATTTCATATTGTTCCTCCAAAAATGCTGTTTACTATCTTAATGAAAGGCATCACCGGCCACACCCGTAATCCCAGCACTTTGGGAGGCCGAGGCAGGTGGATCACTTAAGGTCAGGAGTTCAAGACCAGCCTAGTTACCAACAGGGTCAAACCCCGTCTCTACTAAAAATACAAAAATTAGCCTAGTGTCTTGGCTGATGCTTGTAATCCCAGCTGCTTGGAAGGCTGAGGCGGGAGGATCACTTGAACCCAGGAGACGGAGGTTGAAGTGAGCCAAGATCACGCCACTGCACTCCAGCCTGGGAGACAGAGCAAGACTTGGTTTCAAAAAACAAACCAAACATACATGGTATGTTTCAGCTCACTGCACTTACACTTTCCTTGTCAGAGCTCAAAGTGTCCCTTTTTTAGCCTGCAGTGCCACTTCTGGTTGGCTCTTGGGCCTTCTAACAATCCTGTTTATGCTTAGTTTCCTTGTTCTCCAGTGTGTCAAGATGTTCTTGGCTTATCTTGCTTATTTCCTGCCCAGCCACTTTTCCAAGAAGAATGTGGACGTTTAAAACAAAGTTTCAGTGCCCTAGTCACACCCCCAAACCAGCTTAACCAGAATCCCTAATGGGGATAGGACCCAGATACAGACAGGATCTCCAGGCTGGAGTGCAGTGGTGGGATCTCAGCTCACTGCAACCTCTGCCTGCTGGATTCAAGTGATTCTCCTGCCTCAGCCTCCTGCGTAGCTGGGACTGTAGTTGTGAGCCGCAACTCTCAGCTGATTTTTGTATTTTTAGTGGAAATGGGGTTTTGCCATGTTGGCCAGGCTGGTCTCCAACTCCTGACCTCAAGTGATCCACTCACCTTGGCCTCCCAAAGTCCTGGGATTACAGGTGTGAACCACCACACCCTGCCAGGATACAGTATTTTTTAAAAAGCACATCCAGCCTTGGATGGAAAACCACTTGAGGAGAGTATGGTGCCTTATTGGGCTCTGTAAATGCCTTGTCTCTGCACAAGGCTGGAACTTTGAGTGGAGGCCTTGGCTAAAGCTCTCATTGCTACATGGCGACCTTTCTTCCCTCTCCTGCTTAAAGCTTATGTTTCCGAGTTTTGACCTGAATGCATCTGTACTGAAAGCCAGGCTTGGTCTGTCATCCTAGGACTCTGTGTCGGTTCCTTCCCTTGCCTGTAAGTTGAGTTGGGACTCATCTTTGTGCCTCTGGGAAATAAGTTCCTTGCTGGCTTGCTTAGAGTTTCTCAGTACTTTCCCTTGCCCTTAGAATGAATTCCAAAATATGTGGCCTGCAGTGTAGACTGCTCAGGCCCCCTCTTGGTTCCTGGAGTCTGCCATGCTTCCTTTTACCACCAGGTCTTTGCACGTGCTGTTGTCTGCTGGGAATGCCTTGCCTTTCCTCGTCACTGAGTTCTCCTCTACTCATCTTTCAGGCACCAGCTTGACTGTCTTCCTCGGCGGAGCCTTCTCTGACCTTGGTACCAGATTAGCCCCTGTGTGCTGACTTTGTCACATTGGTAATATTTCTCTACCTTTAGGACACATATCAAGGCCTAGAAGTCACAGTTTTGCATTTGTTAATGTAATCATTTGATGCATGTCTCTTCTCTGGAGCCTGACTCTTTGGGGCTCACGTCCTGTCTCCACCACTTTTAGCTGTGGGACCTTGAACAAATCATTTCATCTCCAGTCCCCAGTTGCTTTTAACTGCAAAATAGAGATGATATAATACTTTAACCTACCTTGTGAGGTGGGGATGAAGATTAAACAGGGTAATTTGTGTAAAGCACGTAGAGAGCTAGCTATTAGTAGAGCATCTTGGCAGATATTACTGATGATTACTGCGGTGGACCACAAGCTCCTTACAGGCAGGGGCCATTTCTGTTTAGATTTGTATGTAGGCTGCTTGGTACGTGGATGGTGCTCAGGAAATATCTGTTGGATTAATGAATAAAATGGAGTTAATAGTAATACCATGTTTATAGAATTCCATGAGGACATAAAATAATGCAAGTGTATAAGTTCTTGGTAGCGTGTCGAGCTCATAGTAGATGGTCAATAAATATTCAATGCCTGAATGAGGAAAGTGGGGACAATAGTAATACCTACCAGCTTATGAGGTTGTCGTGGGGATCTAAGGTAACCCGGTAATACCTTGTAGAGTACCTAGCACATAGTAGGTGCTCGGAAAATATTTGTTGAATGAGTGAAGTGGGGATGATGGTAACACCAGCTCCTAGGGTTGCTGCAGGGATAGAAGATGAGGCAGAGGTTGATAGCTTGTTATATTGTGGTTGTGCCTGGTAGACACTGTTGAGTGAAATGAGAGGAGCTGCTATGAGTTTCTTTCTCCTGGGGCTTAGGAGAGAATCCTTTCGGGGTGCAGAATGGTATGGAGTGAACACTGGTCCTCTTGAAGAAAAAATGGGCAGCTGACTACTCCTTGCCAAGCTCTGGCCTGGATGAAAAGTTGAATCTTTCCTTTCCCTCTTCCTCCCTAACCTGTTCTTTCTTTCCCCTAGAATCCTTGCCCAGAGTCCAGTGCCTCCTTCCTGTCCAGGACCACCTTCTGGTGCATCACAAGGTAAGTAAGGCTGGGCCCCCAAGACCTCAGGGAGGTAGTAGGGAAATGAATGAATGAATGAACATGCTGAGCTCCCCACTTGCCTTCTCTCTCCTTCACTCTTCTGCAGAGTTGTCTTGAATCTGCCTGTGCTGGCCATGTAGTCTCAGAGACACCAACTCTGTCCCCCAGGTCCATCACCTTACCTTGAGTGTGATAAACACATGAGCAGCTTAAATCTCTGCAGAAGGCTTGGCCTGGGACAGCCACACACTGGACTGCTCTTGCTTTAGCTTCAGATTTGGGTTTTCATTTTGTATTTCTTGCCTAGACATCATGTTCAATCTAACAGATTTGGGTTTTTTTAATATTAGGTATAGTTATTATTGACTTTGTTCCCCTCCTGTCCCCTACTCCTTAGAAAAATAATACTGTCTCACCATAGGAAACATGGGCTAAAAAAACATTTACAGATTAGTAGTAAGGAAACACTCAGAGGCAACCACTGTCACCATTTTAGTATGCCTCCTTCTGGTCTTTTCTTTTTGAGATGGAGTCTCACTCTGTCTCCCAGGCTGGAGTGTAGTGGTGTGATCTCAGCTCACTACCTACAACCTCTGCCTCCTGGGTTCAAGTGATTCTCCTGCTTCAGTCTTCCAGGTAGCTAGGATTACAGGCGTGTGCCATCATGCCTGGCTAAATTTTGTATTTTTATTAGAGACAGGGTTTTGCCATGTTGGCCTTGAACTCCTGACCTCAGGTGACCCACCCATATCAAAGTGCTGGGATTACAAGTGTGAGCCACCACGCCCAGCCGCCTTGTGGTTTTCTTTTTGTACATCTTTTTCTGCCCATTGTCAGCATCTTATTGGGGGTTATTTGAAGAATCTTTCTTTCACCCTAATATGCGTCATCTTTTTGTTTTTTTGGAAACAGGCTTTCGCTCTGTCCGATGGAATAGAAGAGAGGCCTCAGAAGTAATGCCACACATCTACAACCATCTGAGTTTTCACAAACCTGACAAAAGCAGTGGGGAAAGGATTCTCTATTTAATAAATGGTGTTGGGAAAACTGGCTGGCCAGCTGCAGAAAGCTGAAACTGCATCCCTTCCTTACACCTTATACACAAATTAACTCCACATGGATTAAATATTTAAACATAAGACCTAACACCATAAAAACCCTAGAAGAAAACCTAGGCAGTACCATTCAGGACACAGGCATAGGCAAGAACTTCATGACTAAAACACCAAAAGCAATGGCAACAAAAGCCAAAATAGACAAGTGGGATGTCATTAAACTCCAGAGCTTCTGCACAGCAAAAGAAACAGTCATTAGAGTGAACTGGCAACCAACAGAATGGGGAAAATTTTTGCAATCTACCCACCTGACAAAGGGCTAATATCCAGAATCTTACAAGAAAATACAACCCCATCAAAAAGTGGGCAGATATGAACAGACGCTTCTCAAAAGAAGACATTTATGCAGCCAACAAACATGAAAAACAGCTCATCACTGGTCATTACAGAAATGCAAATCAAAATCGCATTGAGATACCATGTCATGCCAGTTAGAATGACGATCACTAAAAAATCAGGAGACAACAGATGCTGGAGAGGATGTGGACGAACAGGAACGCATTTGCACTGTAGCAGTAGTGTAGGTTAGTCCAGCCACTGTGGAAGACAGTGTGGCAATTCCTCAAGGATATAGACCTAGCTATCCCATTACTGAGTATATACTCAAAGGATTATAAATCATTATATTATAAAGACACATGCACAGGTATGTTCATTGCGGCCCTGTTTACAATAGCAAAGAGTTGGAACCAACCCAAATGCCCATCAATTACAGACTGCATAAAGAAAATGTGGCACATACACACCATGGAATACTATGCAGCCATAAAAAAGGATAAGTTTATGTCCTTTGCAGGGACATGGATGAAACTAGAAACCATCATTCTCAGAAAACTGGCACAAGAACAGAAAACCACTGCCTATTCTCATCAGTGGGTGTTGAACAATAACACAGGACACAGGGAGGGGAACATCATACACCAGGGCCTGTCGGGAGGAGAGGAGGTTAAGGGAGGGATAGCGGGGGTTTGGGGATTGGGGAGGGTAACAGGAGAAATACCTAATGTAGATGATGGGGATGGATGCAGCAAACCACCATAGAACATACCTGCACGTTCTGCATATGTACCTGAGAACTTAGTATAATAAAAATAAGATGCAGTCTTGTTGTGCTGCCCAGGTGGTTCTCAACTGGGCTCAAGCAACCCCAAACTCCCAAGCAGCTGGGACTATAGGTGTATATCACCACACCCAGCTATTTTTTCTACAATTTTTCATACTAGTCTCACTACAGAACCAGTAATATAAGTAGAGGAACAATCTCTCCTACCAAGTATATAATACCCAAGTAATAAGTGTCCAGGAGAAACAACTCAATGCTATTTGTTGTACAGTTTTTCAACTGACAGGTGCCAGGGAGATTCCATGATTCCCACAAGTAATTTGTTCCACTGAGGGTTTATACTGGCAAAAATACAGATGTCACACTAGTACGACTTAAAAGTCAAAGTATTAGTATTTGTCTAATTAAACCTTAACCAGATTTCATATTTTCTCTACTGGAGAAAGCATTTCCTAATGTGTTGCTCTGTATCTTCCAGTCCATTTTTGTTCAGCCCCCACCCTGTCACAGTACTTATCAATCTTTTGTTAGTTACCAATGTTAAATACATTTTTTTCATCAACTAGACAGATGTCTATGGTTTTCTCTGACCAACTTTCCATAACCATCTTAATAACTAAACCACTGCTAAATTTTAAAAGTAAATACTATGCAAAAGTTGAGAGAATATTTGACACGAGACCACTTTGCCTTGGTAGCAACAGGCCGTCGTCATCTGGTTTAGGGCATGAATCCACACACAGTTTTGGAAAATGCTGTAGAGCAAAAATATACAATAAAAATGATCAAGTTGATTTTTTTTTTTACAAATTTTTTAACTGCCAGTTCATATTCAGCTTCCCCCTCCAAGAAACAAGAATACAGTCTCAGAAAAGGTCAGCCATCTGTGTATTAAGTAACATTTGATACAATTAAAATATGGCCTGTGTTCTAAAAATAGATTTTGGTTACCTATTTCTGCCTCCAGCTGTCTAAGGCTATAAAATATTCAATGAAAACTGACCTTGAGCTCCATAACAAAAAGTGACAGCCAGTATATTGGCAGTGCTTGACAATACTGTACCCTCACAAATTATCTGTCCTGCAGCAGGACATGAAATTCAATTAAAGGAACCTTATGACCTAAAACAAGGTAGAAAGATCCACTGTCTCTTGTCCTTCATCTGTCTCTGGTTAAAAGACTAATCTGTGTCACTTCAAAATGGCAATCTTGATTCCTCAGCACGAAAACCACTTAAGTTCCCAGTGCTTTCCTTTGTCCTCAAAGAGTAAGTACAGAGAATCCCCTGCTACATTTGTAATCCCAACTACTTGAGAGACCCAGAAGTTTGAGACCAGTTTGGAAAACAGCAAGACTCTACCTTCATAAAAAAAATTATGCACACTTGTGTGCATGCTTTATTTCTTTAAACTTTAGGACTGATGCTTTGTTACAAAGCATTCCTTTGGGAGCATACCTGAAACCTTATTAGAATTAGTGTAAATTATACCTACTGGTATGTGATTAGTGCAGTAAGAACTCTTACTTCCGTTACTTTGTATTTTTTTTTTTTTTAAGGCTAGTCAAATGAAGCAGTGGGAACTTTGTATTTATTAAATGCAAAGAATAAATTTATCAAAATTTGATATCTACAAGTGAACTGCAGTATACAAGTCATCGTAGACAAACCATATGAGATTGACTAAAAATGGTATTGTTATCAGAACAGGCGGGATGAGTGACCAGTGTCAGAGCGTGATTCTGAAGGGTGGTTACAACAGACTGTACGGTAGTTCCGTTATCCACGACACATGCGGAAAAGACACACTTGCCACGTTTTTCTCTGCTCTCACACCACAGAAACAATCATCAACAAAGAAGGCTTCCATGATCAAACATGGGGAGGGTTTTTCCCCACCAACAAGCAAGCAAGCATTTCTGCAGATGACACAAGCTGGGTGTCCTCTAAATCAGTTCTCATACTCTTATCTGCAGATAGCATCAGATTCCACAGTTAAAGGGCTCAGTCCCATGAAACTCCCTTTCTACATCAGTCCTGAGTCTGAAATTCCAGAACCTCTGACTAACTGGCTTCAATTTGGGGTTCAATTGAGGTTCCCAGGACACCCTCTTTGCGTTAAATTGATTTGCTGGAGTGGCTCAAAGTACTCAGGGAACACATTTACCAGTTTGCTATGAATGACATTACAAAAGGTACCGATGAAGAGATGCAAAGTGTGGGGGAAGTGGGACAAAGATTCCATGCCCTCCCAGGACACACCATCCTCCAGGAACCTCCATGTAGTCAGCGAACTGGGAGCTCTCAGCCCAGTCCCTTTGGGTCTTTATGAAAGCCTTATTACATATGCACCGCTGATTAAGTAAATCACTGGCCACTGTGACTGAAAACCTTCAGGCTTTCTCTTCGCCTAGAGTCTGCAGAGTGAGACAGAAGATCTCAACCCTCTAATCAATGTCTTCACGATAATGACCAGTTGCCATCCTGAATCTATGTAGGGGCTTCCAGCCATCAGTCATTAGCATACAAAAAGACATCAGTTTGGAATACGGTTTTAAGAATTGTACACCAAGAAATGGGTCAGCGTCAGTCAAACATAGATTTTACATTTGCAGTTTTTATTTCTGTGGTTGCAGCTAATAGTCAACTGTATTCCAAAAATATCACATGGAAAACTTAAGAAACATGTCATAAGTTTTAGTGTGCCATTCTGAGAATGAAGCCATAAGCCCCCTCCATCCAGACCAGGATGTGAATTATCCCTTTGTTCGGTACATCCACGCTGCATATGCTGTGCACCCAGTCATCAACACAGTCTCCTGTGGCCAGCCATCAACGTCATTAAGTCCTAAAGATCCAAGGTCACTCACAGCTCGTGATCTTTTTTCTGACTTAGATTCAGGGGGTGCATCCTGGCCTAATGGCGTTACAATGCCTGCCTCGTTCACCTCACTGCGTCTCATTACACAGGCATCGTATCACTTCACATCACAGGAAAAAGGGTGAGAACCACAACAATGTATTTTATTATGACTTACTGTGCCTAATTTATAAGTTAAATACTATCAGACATGTGTAGGAAAAATGGTATGTGATTCAGTACTATTTGTGGTTTCGGGCATTTACTGGGAGTCTTGAAATGTATCTCCTGCATTTCAGGGGGAACTACTGCACTTATTTTGTTGAACACAACACAGCCTCCCTAGCTCTGCAGTTAAAACTGTTCAGGTTAGGATAAAATCACTTATCACCAGAAGCCAGCAAAACATAGGAATCAGACCAGGAACAAGGATCCTTGCAAAGACTTTCCAGCTGCCAGTGGAGAAGAGCTCGAGAGAGATCACTGTGTTACTCTGGCTAACACTCTTCTGGGGAAGTGCTGGTGGGTTATTCAGTTGTAGCTATATGCTCAGCTCCACGTATAACAAGGCCCAGATTCACCTGCCATGTTACCTCCCACAGAAAGAACTACTGGAAAGATCACTCCTATAAGAGCTTAGCCACTCCAAATCACACCTCACAGTCAGAGAGAAGCTTAGAAACTCTGGGGAGGTGTGGCAGGCCGCCAGGCAGTACTATCTGATGTGAAAAATATATCAAAAGAAAACTACCAATGCCCTCTGGCTACCAGAATGTGCCAATGCTTCCCCCTCTCCTCAAAAAACATTTTTTTAACCTCATATAAAGCAAAGTTGTGTGATTTCCTTGCCATTCCTCATGACAGAGAATCTAGTCATAGGTGAGTCACGTCATCACAATACAGACGGTTTTCAATTCATCCCTCAAAGGAAGAGGATCAGTGAGGAGCATGGGTATTTACCTATAGCATTCACTGCCTGGTCTTGTTTCCAACTGAAAGTACGTATGAAGACTTTGTGATTCCAGTATTATAAAGTACAACCTCTTGAATTTGTTCCCTTCCAAGGAACAGAGAGTCCATCTGAACCCGCCCCATAAACCAAGATGCTCCAGTTTGTGCTGTGTGTATGCATGGTGTCATTTTCCTCAACCCTTTCCATTATGTGGCAAATATCTACACAAATCATGTTTTCTAAATATGTAAAGCACCTGTCATCAGATCTTACGATAAAAAAAAAAACAGAAGAAAATCAAAAGGATAAAGTATCTTAAATGACTACATTCAATTACCATAGAACTTTATTTTTTAACTAGTCAAAAATATATCCACTGTATTATTTCAACTATATGACTCTTCTGAAAAAAGTAAAACTATGAAGACAGAAAAAATCAGAGGTCGGAGTAGCTAGGAAGAAATGGGGTGATGAACAGGCATAGTATTGAGAATTTTTAGGGCAGTGAAACTGTTGTCTGTAATGTTAAAATAATAGATACATGTCCTTATACATTCATCCAAATGTATAATGTACAGTATTAAGAATGAAGCCTGATGTCAACTATGAACTTGGAATGATTATAATGTGTCAATGTAGGTTCATCAGTTGTAACAAATGTACCACTTTGGTGGAAAATAGTGGGAGGCATGGAAAATAATGAGAAATCTCTGTATCTTCCTCTCAATCTTGCTGTGAACCTAAAACTGCTCTAAGAAATAAAGTTATCGATCTAGAAAAGATACTCATTGTCTATGCATCCCAGGAATGCCGGAACAAAAACTAAAATGAAAAATAAAAGATATTCACTGAACCTGTTATTACGATATATTGAAGCAAGTCACGGTGACCCCCAAAACGAGCTCATTGAAGTCATAGCATGTAGGCATTGTTTCTCAAATTGAAGGACATAAAATACGTGAAACAAATAAATTCAATTGCATGCTCAGGCAAGAAAATATTGATAAAATGATGGAACATTTTATTTCACAGTGCTAAAACAGGGATTTAGCACAATATGAAAACTAGATTATTCATGTAATGAAAATAAAAGACCACTTTTATTCTAATTTTAACTTAGAAATTATTAGGCTTATTTAACAATTTTGCTGAAAGGCTAATGAGATAAAGAGGACAGATTGTAATTACCTGATACTGCTATGATGACTTACAAAGAAATACCTGTTAGTCACCAAAACTCAAAAAGTAATCAGCATCGCAGCTAAGGATGGATCATACAACAGAAGCTAGTACCAAGTTACCTTATCTTAGATTATTTGCTGTTAAAATGAAATTTTAAAACAACACCGAAAATTAAGTTGGGGCTAAAACTTTTGTGCAGAAAAGATTTCATATAGCAGGCAAAAGACTGACATCCTTAGAAAGGGCCACATGCAAGGCTGGCCCCTTGGCAGGTGTTTAGGAAACTGAGAGGGTTCCCACGATTGCCTGAGAAGAATGGCTCACTGTGTCTAAAGTGTTTATAGAAACAATGTGGTTACTTTGAACAGATGCTTTCCTTCTAGAGTCTGGAATTTGGGTACGTGTGAGGGAGAGGAACCTCCATTTAAAAAGCTTGGGTACTGAGTCTCTAATGAGACGCTGGTACTAGTGGACGTCACTGCACATGTGTTGCCAAAATGTGAGGCTGGGAGAATTAAGCAGATCCTGGGACCTCCTGGAAACTTGTGCATGGTTTCCTCCAGACTTGACCAAATGCACTGTTTCCCTCGCATTTTGCCGTACCCTTTCATTGTAATAAGTTAAAGATCTGAGTGTGACTGTTTTCTGAGTCCTGGGAGACCTTCTAGTGAACCACCAAACCTGGGGGTGGTCTTGGAAACCCTTGACACACACGCATCATGTAAGATTTTTATGAAGTTGATAAAAATGACTGTCATCAGATGGTTATTTCACAGAATAACTTTCCCTGATCTGTTTTTTATTTTTTCTCCTTGACATCTGACTTGAGATTCTTGTATTTCTGAATCTAATTGAATAAAGCCATAAAGGGAATAAAACAATTACTTCAGAAAATAATGTGAAATAAGCAGCAATCCTACTTTAACGAGAATTAAAAAAAATAGAGAATCTTGAGGATTGACAGTATGTTCTACAATATGAATGTTCCTAAAAGAAAAAAAAAAGACAAGGTAGTCAATTTTCTGCAACGCAATTGGGGCTTAATTTCTTTTTATAACAATTGTGCAGGCCGGGTGCAGTAGCTCATACCTGTAAAACCCTAGCAATTTGGGAGGCTGATGCTGAAGGATTACTTGAGCTCAGAAGTTCCAGACCAGCCTGGGCAATATAGTGAGACCTTATCTAAAAAATAAATACATATATACATATGTATGTACATACATAGATACCTTAAAAAGAAAAATAGCTAAGCATGGTTGTGTATGCCTGTAGTCCCAGCTACTTGGGAGACTGAGGAAAGGATCATTTAAGGCCAGGAAGCAGAAGTTGCAGGGAGCCAAGTTTGTACCACTACACTCAAGTACTGGCAACAGAGGGAGACATTGTCTCAAAAATAAACAGATAAATCAATCAATAAATAATTGTGTATCCAGCTAAATGTAACCACACATGACTATGGTCCCAGCTACTGAGGAGGATGAAGTAGGAGGACTGATTAAGCCCTGAAATAAAACGAGAAGACAAGATTAGAGGGGGAAAAAAAAGGGATAAAAAGGAATGAGCAAAGTCTCCAAGAAATATGGGACTATGTGAAAAGACCTAATCTACGTTTGATAGGTGTACCTGAATGCGACAGAGAGAATGAATCCAAGCTGGAAAATACTCTTCAGGATACTTTCAGGAAAACTTTCCCAACCTAGCAGGGCAGGACAATATTCAACACCAGGTAATACAGAGAACACCACAAAGATATTCCTCAAGAAGAGCAACCCCAAGGCACATAATCGTTAGATTCACCAGGGTTGAAACGAAGGAGAAAATACTAAGGGCAGCCAGAGAGAAAGATCAGGTTACCCACAAAGGGAAGCCTGTGAGACTCACAGCAGATCTCTCAGCAGAAACCCTACAAGCCAGAAGAGAGTGGGGGCCAATATTCAACAACCTTAAAGAAAAGAACTTTCAACTCAGAATTTCATATCCAGCCAAACTAAGCTTCACAAACGAAGGAAAAATAAAATCTTTTGTGAACAAGCAAGTACTTAGAGATTTCATCACCACCAGGCCTGCTTTGCAAGAGATTCTGAAAGAGGCACTACACATAGAAAGGAACAACCAGTATCAGCCTTTCCAAAAATATACCAAAAACTAAAGAGCATCAACATAATGAAGAATTTACATCAACTAATGGCTAGTTAACATCAAAACAGCTAGTTAACATCAAATGGCAGTATTAAACTCACATATATTATTATTAATCCTAAATTTAAATCAACTAAATCCCCCAATCAAAAGACACAGACAGGCAAATTGGATAAAAAGCCAAAACCCATCGGTATGCTACATCCAGACCCATCTCACATGCAAGGACACACAAAGACTCAAAACAAAGGGATGGAAGATTTACCAACCAAATGGAGAGCAAAAATAAATAAATAAATAAAAAGCAGGAGTTGCCGTTCTCGCCTCTGATAAAATAGACTTTAAAGCAACGAAGATCAAAAGAGGCAAAGAAGGACTTTACATAATGGTAAAAGGATCAATGCAACAAGAAGAGCTAATGATCCTAAATACATACGCACCCAATACAGGAGCACCCAGATACATAAGACAAGTTCTTAATGACTTATGAAGAGACTTAGACTCCCACACAATAATAGTGGGAAACTTTAACCTCACATTGTCAATATTAGACAGATCAACGAGACAGAAAATTAACAAGGATATCCAGGACTTGAACTCAGACCCGGAACATAAACTTAATAAACATTTATAGAACTCTCCACCCCAAATACACAAAACATACATTCTTATCAGTACCACATCCCACCTATTCTAAAAGTGACCACATAATTGGAAGTAAACCACTCCTCAGTGATTGCATAGCATTTCACGGGTTTAAATGAAATATTGGTTGGCTGCTTGTTATTTTCCTCCCTTATTCCTTCCTGTCTGCATTTTTAAAAAAATGGTTTTAATGGACTGTTTGTGTTATCAGGAAGGCTTCCAGTCAATGGTGGGTTACTAGGAGCTAAGATGGGGAAATTAAAAGTATACTCGGATTTTCAACTGCACAGGGATTAGAGTCCCTAACCCACATTATTCATGGGACAACTATAATTATTTACTAAATACAAACAATTTATTATAAAAATGAAATAGAAGATCCACATGTATAACAAGTTCAATTTGTTAGAATGTGACTATAGAGAAAACACACAACATACTAACAATCTTTTTCCTTAGTTATGCAAAAATTATACAGTTTTAGGAACTGTAATTAGTAAATGATTGTTTTCAGACAATCCTGTTTCAGATTATAAATTAGATACAACTGCCTTCTTAAATAACTCTGAATTCCAAACTAAAGGAGATACATTTTGAAAATTAATTTGCATATATGTATATACATATACATACTTGCAATTTACACATTTTTAAACTGGTCTTTTTCCATTAAAACTACCTAAATATTACATCTTACTTTCTTTTTTATCAAGAATACGACCAACAAGATCAATGAGAAAGTTACTATCAGCAGTCTGACTTCCATTGAAGTATCTTCTTTTTACGTTCCAAAATTTGGTGTCGAATTCTATGTATAAAAAAGTAATAAATAAAATTGCTATTTTAATACTAAAATAAAAAATATTTACCAAACATAGTAAATTCTTAAACCATTTCAGGCAACATCAGCGCTAATACCAGAACTTTAATTTCTGTCCCATACACTTCAAAATTTTAAGCTTTGCAAGTTTATTAACCTTTCAATTAAAGAAAAAAAAAGTGAAGTACTCATGAATGGAGGGAGCACAGCTCAGTAAATGAACTACGCTTAGCTGGACATCGCGCAAAGCGTCCTGCACTCAGAACAAGTCCTTGCTCTGTAACCAACAGGTATTTGTGATCAGACAAGTTGCTTCTCTTAGGCTCCATGGTGTCTTCTAAAAAATAAGGATTTTGCTGCCTTACTTCACTAGGTTGTTAGGAAGATGTAATGAGATTACATGCTTCAATGTTCAGAGAAACAGTAAAGCAATGGAGTAATTTATTCTTGAACTTCATTGCTGAAACTATTTTGGAGTCCCAAATAAAGCTTGATGTGTGTTTTGCCATAGGTTCTAATATTCAAATGTTGCAGTTTTCATAAAACGTTATTAAGTGCTAATTTTATTTATTAGTTGTATTTATTTTGGCTTGGAATTCAGGGCACTTTAGCTAATTCATGACTTATAACTAAACTTACATATACATCTATTATTATCTCATTAAAATAGATAACATAATTGTCCCTATTACTGAGCTCATCGATCACACCAGGAGCAGGAAATGAACAGATGTCAAAACCCGGCTTGCACAACCCCTTCTCTACCTCCTCAAACTCTGAGCTGGCACGTCTGTGCCAGGATGCTGGATCTCCATGGTCTGCTCCAACAGACGAGAAAAAACCTGCTTTTATTGTTCTTCAGGTTTCTGAAGGAAATGCAAGTTGACATTTTCCCATTTCCAAGACATGTGCTAACATGTTTGCATGTAATGTCACGTGACTCAGCTCTGTTCTCCTTTCATGCGTCACAGTACCTCAGTAGTTTTATAGTGAT